ACAGTGTCCAAAGCCTTGCTGAAGTCCAGGGAGACAACATGCACTGCTCTGCCCTCCTCTACCCAGCCAGTCATTCCATCAGAGAAGGCTATCAGATTGGTCAAGCATGATTTCCCTTTGGTGAATCCATGCTGACTACTCCTGATCACCTGCTTGTCCCCCAGATGCTTAGTGAGGACCTCCAGGAGGAGCTGTTCCATCACCTTTCCCAGGATGGAGGGGAGGCTGACAGGCCTGCAGTTTCCTGGCTCCTCCTTCTTGCCCTTTTGGAAGACCGGGGTGACACTGGCTTTCTTCCAGTTCTCAGGCACCTCTCCTATTCTCCAGGACCTTTCAAAGATGATGGAGAGTGGCCTAGCGATAACATCCGCCAGCTCCCTCAGCACTCGTGGATGCATCCCATCGGGGCCCATGGATTTGTGGCTGTCAAGTTTGGACAAATGATCTCTAACTCGATCCTCCTCGACCAAGGGAGAGTCTTCCTTTCTCCAGCTTTCCTCTCTTGTCCCCAGGGTCTGGAATTCCTCAGGACTGGCCTTAGCAGTAAAGACTGAAGCAAAGGCAGCATTCAGTAACTCTGCCTTCTCTGTATCCTTCGTTAGCAGGGCACCCCCCCCATTCAGCAGCGGGCCCACATTTTCCCTAGTCTTCCTTTCACTCTTGATGTATTTGAAGAAGCCCTTCTTGTTGTCCTTGACATCCCTTGCCAGATTCAATTCCGAATGGGCCTTAGCCTTCCTCGTCGCATCCCTGCACACTCTGACAACGTCCCTGTATTCCTCCCAAGTGGCCTGTCCCCTTTGCCACCTTCTGTTGACTTCCTTCTTCTGTTGGAGTTTTGCCAGGAGTTCCTTGCTCATCCATGCAGGTCTCCTGCCCACTTTGCTGGACTAAAGTATATTTAAGTATAAGTATAAATACATCTATGTAAAATGAATACTGACCTCAACTAAAAGATCTTTGGAGTATTTTCCAAAAAAATAAATAGCACGGTCTTCAGAAGTTGTAGAGTCTGGAGCAAAATTATCCCCTTTAATATCAGAGCCTGTAAATTAAATAAAGGCATCACAAATACAGAGAAACACTACATTTACAGAGCACAATACAACATCACTTACACAAATATTGAAGTCACATTGTATATGGTCACTTTTAATCTTTGGAATTTTAACCTGTGTAGACTTAAAATATTTTGTTCTAACACTCTGCTTGAAACTAATTCACTTACTGTCCAGGGAGAGCCCGTATAGAACAGTTTGAGACATCCAGATGTACTATACTGAACATAAATTGAAACTAAGCTCGGACCCAGGCAGAGGATGAGCAAAGGTAGCCTGCATAAAAAATACACGGCTGCAACTTACCATGTCGCTTATCACCTCCTCTGACACTGTTAAAGGGAGGCAGATAAGGAGAAGCTATAGCTCCCTATCACTACAGACTACTCTATAGTCCCTATAGACTACTACTTCTTGAAGAGTGAGGTTAAAATAGCTACCCACTCCATTCAGTGAACCACTTCAGCATGGACCACAGTGGGGACCAGAAATAATTCATCAGATACCCTGTGACTCAGGACAGTGGAAAGAATTTAACCTCTGAAGAGAAGACCTGTTTGCCAAATGAATGTGCAGTGTTATTAAACCCATACTTCATAAATAGCAACTAAACAACACTTTCTATTTTATCATCATTTACCAACTGTTGAAAAAGCATATCGCATTTCTAAACACTGATTTTTTCTAAGATATTTAGTACACTGAATGTCACTGCAAATTGTACAGTACCTAGCAACCACGCATATAATCTTCTATTGAGTGACATGTCTCTCCTCAACAGTGTCTGCGTAGCTGATGAGAGAATATAGACTAAATCAGTTCTGTGCAATAGGATAGCGCTTTCATTGCGGTCCTAGGACGAAGAGCAAAGATAACTCAGCTGTTTACAAGCAGTGAGACAAGTCAAATTGATGACAAGCTCTTTTAAACTGGATTATTAGTGTTTTGAAGGAGAAAAAGGCAGGAAACCATCAACAACAAACTTTTGTATGCTAAAATCTCAAGAAAGGGAATCTGAGACAGTTATGTGATTATTTTCTCATTCGTAGTAGAGAGCCATAATTAAGCTAAAAATATTAAAGATTTCAATATATTATACCTGAAAACTTAAAAATTAGTTGGTATCTTCAAAATACAGTTATACTACAAGATAAGTTAGGAAACAATGGGGAAGAGCTAATCTTTCAAGCAGCATTTGTTTTCCTAGACTTTTATGAAAATACTGTAGCTTAGTGCAGACATCCTACTTAAAAAGGAGCTCTATACTTTTTCCATGTGCTGTTTGGCAGGCTTGAATACTTCAAGCACATTCCAGATATCAGAAAACATGCACTGTCAAAGCACAGCTGCACTTCAAACATTCTGAGGATATATTCTGAAGATGTAACCACGTTAGCTGTTAAGAGTTTCAGAAAAGGTCTATGCTGCTACCAAAACTGATGGGGAACAAGAAAACACCAAACCCATTTACTGGTTTTGAAGGTACAAGATTCTGACATTTGGCAATAATAGAAGTGGGAGCTCGACAGGGCTCACAAAGGACAGCTTTCCACACAAAGTGCGCTTGTGACAATACTAAAATAGTCCTCTTACCAAGGCTGTATAAAATGGGAAGAAGAACAGAATCACTTCTAGAGTGTTTCTTTGCACAAGGACATTCGAATCCAATACTGATACACACAAAGACTTTATCTGTAAAAGGAGAAGAAAGCACAAGGGTGTTTTACTTAATGTTAGCATATGAACTACAATCATTGTAAATAACCACAAGGAGCAGGAGGGAAAGCAAACTTGATTACACATGTATAATATCTTTTTTGATAAGAAAAGAATATAACCACTAACACATTTACCTCCCCTCTTTTAAAAAATAATTTTTAAGAAGTTGTTAAAAATATTTTTAATACTTGCAAAATACTTGGTTTTTTAACAATACAGAACGTCACAATGTGATATCACTAGCTATCAGATAGAATGTGAAGTCTCACAACATACAGATATTAAATATTTGTACCAGCTTTACAGTTACTCCATCACTGGAGTTAAAACATAAATTACTACCTACTGAAGTTTTCCATTTTACTGGGAAGGGGGGGAAGAAATACTAAGTTTCAGAATTCTTTTCTGGGATTAAAAAAGTATGCTAAAATCATAGCAAAACATATTGAATAGCAAAATAGCAAAATATTGTTTTGAAATAATGTCAGAAGGTGCCTGTAGTGGAAAAAAACATATCAAGAAATACACATTAAAACGGTATCTAATGTATCATGAAAAAAAATGGCATTCATCCTTAAAATGTAAGAACAGAATAGGTGAAGGAGATGTCAAGTTTATTTTCTAATTTACAACAGAGCCAGTCCTTTAAGGCTCTGTACCGTACCAATTACTAAAAACTGCAGACACTTCAGAAGACTGACATTCTGCAAGCTGATCAAAATCTGTATGGGAGATTTGCTGCTATACTTCAGGTAAAATTCTCCCATGAAGTAACCATACTAAGTTGTTCTGAATTGCGGACATTTCACTGCCTCTCTTACTCTCACTCCAAAGTGTAAGAGCATGTCATTGTAATTTAACAGAGAGAAGGCACAACTTGCTGGCATTATGCTGGGTAAGGCTATCCCCCTAGGAGCATAACAAACTTACTGTGAGCTTATAATCAGTGCCGAGCATGTACTTCTGTTGTTTTCCAGACAGCTCTCTGTTGATATGACTGACAACAAAGAGAGAAGCAGGCAGCCTGATGGACGGGCTGACCAGAACACTGCCCCAGAGTGCTCCATAGAACACTTCTTTGCCCATTAATAAGGAGAGCTTCACAAGCAAAGCATCTGTTCTGTATGGAAATATATTTAACATGACAAATTTGAATTAACAAAAATTCACTTTCTATCATAAAAAGGCAGTTAAAGACAGAATTAGTATGGCAGGTCACAGAATTAGTTAATTTCCTCCTCTTTGAATTAGCAGTGTTGCCCTTTTCGCATGAAGATGGCCGGCATTTGACTGTACAAAAAACCTCCCAATTCTCTGTCACGATGCACTCACTAAAACAAAGTTCAGAGACAGCGTGTTCCTGAAATGCAAATAATCTAAGCTGACTGTAGACTTTGAAAGCCGATTTATCAATCTGGGAATTGGAAGTTACTCTGCATATTCGTACTTACAAATCAATGGGTTCAATTTTTAAGTCACTGAGTAAACAAAAACATGGGATAAAAATGACACTTTGTCAGAGTTCTTGCACATAGAACTGGTACACTGAAATTACAGGCAATCACGGGGCACGCTCTCTGCTTTGGCAACTCTGTCAATACTCTGGTATTTTAGTATGTATAGGAACTGAAACCTCACATGAGGAACAGAGAAGTAGGAGGAGAGGGGGGAAGTCCAGTATAGAGGGGTGGAGGGGGGGGGGAAGGAAAACACGACTGATGTTCTTTTCCTATCTCTTTGTGAAGTAGCCATCAAGTCTTTTTTTCTGCCCCAGTTTTGTGTGTGTACACGCGTTTAAGCATTAGAAGGAAACAATGTCTAGGCTGGAGCATGATCTGAACTAGTACTTCTGCCATTTCTAGGGACAACAGAGATGCATTAAGGCTAGCCCATAATGTCAGAGATTCTGAAAACTCTCAAAGGAGAGTCTGCTATGGAGCAGAGTGAAAAAACAATCTAAAACATTTTCTGACATTTTTGTCCACCTTTGTTGAATCAAAATCATTGGAATGAAGAAAGCAAGGAGACACTTTCTCATTTTATGTGTGTTTCACAAAACAACATTAAAATGACTTTAGTATTTCATCATGAAAAATTTATATATTGTCAGCTCCTGTCAGTGATCCTGTTTGTTAAAGGGGAAGAAGAAAACGGGTGTCATCAAGAACAGCAAAGTTACAAAACCAGAAACAGGCAGAGGAATTTGGTTGGCCATAATCTGCAGTTACCATTAAATCATTACTTCAAATTTAGCCAGTATTTCCTATCTATCTGAAGCCTTTTAGATCCAAGGGGGGAAAAAAAAAACAACACAAAACCAACAAGTGGTGCTACAGTAAAAAGAAGAAACTACACATCATCACTTTAAAAAGTCTGCCTGACAAAAAGTACATACTGAAACTCATCTTTCTACAGCAGACTTTTAAGAGGTACATGCTTGTTCATAGATCCAGTGTCTTGGAATCAGCAACTGAAAGCAATTTATCAACTTGAGAACCCCTACAATCTATTCTTAGCCACTCCAGCAATTGATACAAGTCTTAAATTTAATGCCTTAAAAAAAAAAAAAGGCATTATATGTAAAACTATTTTATTTATTTACAGTGATGTATGTTGCTTAGCGTCTTTTTTTTTTTTTTAAAGAGTACACACAAGATCCAATAAGTGCAGAGAAGAGCCAACATATCCAGACTGAAAACAGAGAAGTTAGTGCATTATAAATGCAATGTTCAGCAACTGTTTAAGCAAAGAAATATCTTGGTCAAACCTACAGTGGTTTAGTTTTATAAGATCTTACAAAACAGTTCTGGTTAATGAAGTAAAAATCATTACATAACTGGGTACTGAGCTGCTCTTCCCAGCATACTTCCTGATCATGACTATATCATACTGAACGCCATTTTCATTACTGCCACGCACACTTGAAAGAGAGATATTTTTTCCACAAAGATGTTGGAAGGGCTGCCTTTTGTCAGAGCTTCCAGAACCTGAGGGTAATCATCTAGCACAGAATGACTGGAAAGATGATAGAATTCAGCTGTTCTCTTTTGTATTACAATATTTAAATAGTTTGTCAACAGAGCAGTGGTTTGGGGAGTAAAAGGTAGTTATTTAGGAGTTTAGAGGACCTGCTAAACATATTTTTTCACTCCTTTATCTCAACACATTTATTTTTAAACTCTTTTTCCTCTTCTCCCCTCTCCTCCTTTGGAGATGAGGATAGAAGGGGAAAGGGATTTTTCTACTTTAACATTATTCCTTGCATCTTTCAGAGATTCATCATCCTTCCACCCTTAGAAGCTCTTTATGAATCCCTCTCTTTAAACAGATAGCCAACAGAAATTTCTTGAGTATTCCTTAGAAGAGTAAAAATAAAGATACACTGTATATTGCTTTTAAATCAACATTAGTTCTCACCTGTCATAAATTTCTGATCCTTCTTCCAATCCAGGCAGCAGTCCAATTACAAAGGCTTGAAGACCAGGAAGGAGAGATTTTTGGAGAGGAAGAAAGTATTTCTCATATAGACCAAGGAGAACAGGCCTCACTGACATTGCTGCATTTGCCAGAAGAGGAAACAAACCAGAGCTTTTTTTTTTTTTTTTAAATAAAAAAAAGACAAGAAAAAGAAATCATTTAGCTGATTAAAATACATTGTGAAAGTCAATAAGCTTTTAAAGAGAAGTTTACCTGTACAAGAATAAGTCCTTGGCAAGCCATTTTGTCCCAATAATTTTAAAGATTATTTCATAGGTTTCTAGTGCCTTTAAATGTACTCCACTAGGCAGCGCTGGATGCAAGCACTGAGATAATCTTTTACTGATAATCAGACGTCTTGGCAATAGAGAATACTTCAGGTTACTCTGAAGAGCCTATGGAAAAAAAGTTAGACTGAACAGCTGTAACATAGGAAATGATGTAAAATATGCCTGCCTTTCAAAGGTTTCCTACCAGCAAACCAAGAACTAAATAATGCATTCAAGAATTTTCTCTCATAAATGGATTTTGTTTCATTAACAGAGCAGAGATCTGCAGTTGAGTTTTCACAGCAAATCATTCATGAACAACTTAGAAAGGTCAAGTTTTGACAATTCCAGCCTCTGAGGAAAGTAAAAGACTTGTCCATAGGACAAGTACAGGATATCTTTATCCCCCCAGTAAGGGGGGCCAACAAAGGACAAGAAAAGCATCTTTGCTTTTAAGGACTGGAAGTAAAGAAAAAATTTAAACACTAACTTTCCCTGTAAACTTTCATTCTGCATATAGCCGAAATAAACAAATAACGCTCTCCTCCAAAGCGGACACAATTAGATGGAACAATGATATCTCAGGAGTTATTTGTAACTCTGTGTGGCTACGTTCAATAAGCTTTATTAACTATGGCCACTATACTGATGTTTAAGTAAAAGCTATTTAGGACAGGAACTAATTAAGTATTGCAGGTAGGCCAACTCCCTGGAAAAACAAATCGTACAGCCTTTTCCTTTGAACTAAA